ATTTTTTTGCGCCATCTATATTTTATTTTATTTTATTTTTTTGCGCCATCTATATTCAATATATCCGAAAAAAAACAGTAGTGGAAATATTTAAGTTTTGTTTTATTTGGCTGAAAATCTTAAAATACAGAAATAACAGACGTATTTTACACACACACATATATATATATGTAAAGATATACATTTCTACTGATACATAGAAACATTTTTATAAGATTTAACATTGACGACGCCATAAGTGTGATTATTAACCACGAGATGGCAGTATTCAACGAGTTTGTGTGAAGGATCTGTCTACTAACCAGTAGAATGAGAATTCATTATTATTCCACGGTAGTCTCGGAACGTCAGAGGTCGTTCGTTTACAACGAGCGAAACTAGGCTTAAACAAACAAGTAGACATTTATCGTGTAAAAATCATTTAGTTAGGTTTCTTATGGTTTTTACCATATAGAGGAATTGGTCAATAAATGCAAGTGATAGCCTTGTCTTGTAAATGTCCCAAATCTGAAAATATCTTTATGATCTGACTGTGCTAATAATTTGTGTCGGAAAGGACTGTGACATACCTTTTCAAAAGGAATCAATTTTCTTCGGCATCACACTATCTAGAAAAGATCAAGCCGTGCAAATGTAGTTCTTATACAATCTGTTCCACTGCAACTTTATATTAGCTGTAGTTGTCAGGTGACTTTAGACTTACACATTCAAATAACTTATTAAACCCTCTCTATAAAGAGAACTTGTATGAAATTATAAAGTAGATTATAGAACACAATCAGTTGTTATAAATAAAATAATTTATTTCCGAAAATAAAAATGGAGAAACGTTGGGTGAAATATAAAGTTTTTTATTATTATCTCGAGAGTAAAGGTCGTTTTTTTTTCAAACTTCATGTCCATACGCCATTAAAAAATCTCCAACTGAACATTACTGACACGTTTAAATTTCTAGATATTATGTAATAAATTCACCACTGACACCAGATGTCGCCCGTTTCGCGCATTTAGGACGGTACACTCATACTTCAGAAGTGTTTTAGCTCAAGTTGACAAATAATAAATTTAGAATTAAATAATAATTTAATTAAAATTAAATGAAAGTAAGAAGTGTTTATACTTTTAACCTAATGTGTTAGCAAATCAGAAAATTAGAAACGTTGATGTACATATTTTGTAAATTAACATACAAAACGAATTATGCTTTCTGATTAAGAAGTT